TGAACCGCTGGGAAACCAGAAAACAGCCAGATGGCAGGCTGGAACGCAGTCCTATCCGCAGCTACGCTGAACACCAAGGGTCTGAAGCGCGTCACCCAGAAGCAGGGCCTGCCAGGCTGCGCGACGCCTGCCTGACACCCTTCACGACGGGGTGATGAGGTCCACTTCCAACAGCAGGCAGGGGCCCGGACGCAGCCCCCGGCCACAGGCCAGGCCATTCTTGCTGGGGCTCTTCTGGGGCTTCAGGGCAGTCAGCAGCACCTCTGGCCTCTGTCTACTTGAGGCCAGAAGCATCAGGTCCCAAGTGTGAGGCCAAAGACGTCTCCAGAGGCTGCCACAGGTCCCCTGGGGGAACTGCCCTGGGCGAGACCACCGAGGGGACGCACAGTACGTCCAGCAGGTCTGAAGTGGGAGGGGAGGAGACGCACCACGAAAACCACGGGCCACGAGGGGCTGGGAGGGCCTCGTCAGCACACAAGAGCCGAGAGGAGCACAGAGGCATCTTCCCCGATGGGGCCAGCCCAGTGGGCACACATGGACGACAGTGCTGAGCACACCGATGCACTAACCGGGGGCGGGACCCCAGCAGACGATTCCCAAGGATGGGGCCTGAGGTCAGACAGGAGAGCCGGGCGGGCCCCATTTGGAGTCACCTGGGGGGTCCTGAGGATGGGGGTCTTCATCGTGCGGCCAATGGGCAGGGCCAAGACACCCTCCCGGGGGCCAGGGTACACACAGCGCCCGGCACAACCTACCCAGACAGCCGAGCACGGAGATGTCCAGAGAGACGTCCGAATAGGACTTCATGGCCATGAAGTCCAGGGTGGAGCCACCATCCCCGAGAGGGTCCCCCGCCTGCGGGAGACAAGCGACGTGAGACAGGAAAGGAGAGGCAGCTGACACAGATGTAACGGCCTGCCAGCCATGGGGAGGCCAGGCCTGTCGCGTCGTGTCCACCCCGAGGAGCCCACACCGCAGCCCAGGGGTGAGCTCCCAGTGGTTGCCTGTACCTGGACCAGCAATGAAGGCTGCTGGTCTCTGGGGACCTACAGGCGCTGAGGGGACCTGAGAGAGACCCAAGACCTAAAGGGCCAGGCTACCTTCCAGGAACTTAACAGATAACGCGGCAGATTCCAGAGCAGCGCACTTTCTTTCCTTCTCTGGGCTGACCCACGGAGGCCCTGCTGTGGGCCAGAGCGGGCGGGTCCCTGCCCAAGGCAGCCTGCAGCCCATCCCAGCTCCTCGCAGACTGTGCGAGGCTGGCACCCAACGCCACATGTGTCTGTGTAACCCAGACAGAGACCCGAGCAGAACCCTGGCTGCCCCGTGCACCCGGGGGAGATGCCCTCGGCACCCTCTCCAATTCTGCCCATTCAAGGGCCCCCACCTGACAGGCACCTGACGCTCTGCCCTGGGTGGGCCCCCCGGTCACCAAGGCCAGGTGACCCCTGCAGTCCAGGCCCCCACACCCTGCCCAGAGTCCTGGCACCTATGCCCACATGGCCGTGTGCAAAGCTGAGGGCCACAAGTGCTCCAAGTCACCCCAGGGCAGGATGAGGAAACCAGGGCTGGACCGCAGCGGAGCGTTTCCTCAGAGTGCCCGCCCCGGCGCTGGCGAGGCCCCGGGACGCCCCAGCTGACAGCACGTGTCCGCTGGCGAGCGCATCTTCTGGGAGGACTGTAAGACCCCTGCTCACCCTGTGGGCCGCCCCGCCAGCCCGTGAATCCCTCTGTCCAATTTGGAGGAAACTGCTGTGCCCACACCCTCAGCCCAGTCATCACAGTCGGGCTGGGGGGGGCCACCACTTAAGATTCCTCATCAGCAACGTAGCCAGTTTCTAAATAAAATATCTCAAGCATCCCATTTCAAAGACCAAACACAACTGTCCTCACGGGAACGCAAACGATTAGGTTTCTACTAAGTTGTCCACGAGACGCACCTTTCCTTCATCTGGAGGCTTCGTCAGGACGCTTCTCCTCTGCAAAGCAAAAGAGACAAGAACCAGTGCTCCACAAGTTTTACGCAGAACCACTCATCCAGTCGCCCACACGTGAGGTGGACACGGCTCATCCGCTGCTCCGAGCTGGCCCTCGTGGGGTCGCGCTGCACTGTGAGTCACACGGCCCGTGGGGCCCGGCTCATGAGACCACCCTGGGGTGAGGTGGACACCAAGGAGAGCACCCCAACCTGTGTCTGCATCCCTGGCGGCAGAACACCAAAGAGGAAAGTCAGACGTTGGAAAAACAGCCAATGGTTTAACCTGGAAGACGGTTTAACTCAGGAGGTAGAGAGAGATCCAGAGACCAGCTGGATCCCGACAGAGCAGGATGCCTGTGGTGCCACCGCCCTCGCAGGGATGGGGCCACAGGCCAGGCACCCTTCTCTCTGGCCTGCTCAGCGCCAGGGGAGGGCGTACACTTGACCACCCCAGTGACCACCACTCTGACCACAGCACAAAGGTTGCACTGAGCCGTGTCTTGTGATCTGGCAGGAGCACTGTGTGAAACCACCCTAGTTCTGTGGATGAACCTAGAAACAGTTACTCAGCCTGCACGCTCTCCATCTGCGATCTTTTGCTCAAGATGCTGTTTCTGAGATTCGCTTGTGTTAAAAGCTTCACAACTTTTAAATAGAAAAAAAAATACTGCCATTATTTTAACGTCTATTTCCTCACACAAACTTCTGCTGACATATACATTTCATTATTGGATGTTGTTTATGCCGTGGCACATCTGAAATTATGCCACTCTGAACACAGTTCACATTTAGAAAACTGATCAAACTGTTCTTGCCTCCTTTGTCATAAATTGGCCATAAGTGGGTGGGTTTATTTCTGGGCTCTTTATTCTGTTCCACTGATCTGTGTGTCTGTTTTTGTGCCAATACCACACTGTTTTGATTACTCTAGCTTTGTAGTACAGTCTAAAGTCTGGGAGTGTGATACCTCCAGCTATTCTGTCTCAAGATTGCTTTGGCTATTCAGGGTCTTTCGTGTTTCCATATCAATTTTAAAATTATTTGTTCCAGTTTTGTGAAAAATGCCACTGGTATTTTGATAGGGATTGCACTGAATCTGTGGACTGCCTTGGATAGCACGGCCATTTTAACCATATTACTTCTTCCAGTGCAAGAAAGGACAGTCTGTGCAACAAGTGGTGCTGGGACAACTGGACAGCTACATGTAAAAGAATGACATTAGAACACTACCTAGGGGCTTCCCTGGTGGCGCAGTGGTTGAGAGTCCGCCTGCCGATGCAGGGG